TCCTACTCAGCACCATTCTACACTCAAAACATTCATTTTCAAGGATCTTGCCACATGTAGCCACGTATTCCTCAGGGAAGAGTCGTTACGCGGTGCACTCCAGTTTGCTTATAGTGGTCCATATGAATTTATTTAGCGTAACCCAAAATTTTATAAAATTAGTGTCCGAGGTTATAATATGACAGTATCCATCGACCGTCTTAAACCGGCCTTTATACTGTCTGATATAACTCCTCCACAGAACATATCTCCTACCACCCAACCTCATAACACAGCTCCAAATTTTACACATACAACTAAATCAGGAAGACGTGTCAGGTTTCCAGATTTCTATCGTCCGTAGACACGGCCTCTGGGGGGAGTGCTGTAGGTGACTTAAAGTTCATATTTACAGATTTATACATTTTATATTTTATTAAAATATATTCGCATATATAACTATAATAATATAAATATATATATATATATATATACATTTATACTCAATGTCAATGTCAATGTCGGTTGGACTCCATTTTCCGCACTTAGCCTCTCATTCGGGCCGTTGTGCGTGTAGAGCCAGGCTACTAGCGTAGCCAGCCAAGCTCCTCCCAGAAGCGCAGAAGTCTCCTGGTGTCTTCGCAGGCTTCTCGGAGCGACCTCACCGTTCCGAGGATTTGATTTCGTTGTGTGGTCACTGCTTCGCACTCCAGGATTACGTGAGCGGCCGTTTCCTCGGCTACAAAGCAGCCCCGGCATAGGGGACTGTCTGTAGCACCTATTGTGTACAAATGTCTGTTTAAGGGACAGTGGCCCGTCATTGTCCCGATCATTGTTTTTATGTTATGCCTGTCCAGATTTATTAGGCGTTTTGTTATTCGTTGATTTGTTCTGGGAATTGCCACTTTTGATTGTTTACAATCGGTGGTTTGTTTCCATCTTTGGTTTTGTATCTCAGTGTATCTTTGGCGAATCCAGGATCGAAATTGTGAGAATGGTATTGGCAGAAGCGGGAGGGGGCCTGCTACCGTCATGCCTGATCCTCTTCTCGCCAATTCGTCCGCGGCATCATTTCCATATGATCCACTGTGCCCTTTTATCCACTGGATGGTTACACCGTTGTGCTCTGCCACTTTATCCATGATATTGTGACATTCGATTATTAATCTGTTGTTTGATTTCCTGTTCTGTAGTGCTTTTAGCACGGCTGCACTGTCCGATATAAATTTTAAGTTGAAGTTGTTGACACCTAACTTTAGCACTGTTCGTGCTGCCTCAGTCAGGGCAACGCATTCACATTGGAAAATCGAACTGTGTGGGCCGAGTGGTATGCATAAGTTCATGTTGAGGTCAAGGGAGTGGGCTCCTGCTCCTGAACCGTTATGTGTTTTGGAGCCATCTGTGTATATTCGCAGTTCATTTACAGCAGATTGGTCTTGTTCCTCCTGATTCATTTGTATTTGGTATTTTCTGTTAAATGAGTGATAAGTTTGAGTTCTGTCACACGGAGCTGCAATCAAAGGTTCGTGTTCGATTGCTTGGTTCAGGATGTGAGTGTGAGAACTATTATGGTTTTTGCCCCATAGACCAAGATGGTATAGCCTTATGGCAGCTATGGCTGCCTCCTGTTGTATGTACAAATCGAGGGGTGTTATATTGAGGGCTATTTCAATTGCTGTTGTTGGGGTAGTTTTCATACATCCCGTGATTGCAGAGCATGCAAGTCTTTGAAAGGACCTTAGTTTGTTGACTGTGGTCGTGAGTTTCGACCTTGTCCACCAAACCAAGGCCCCGTACACGAGCATTGGTCTTATCACAGCTGTGTATAGCCAGAGTGTTATTTTTGGTGTAATACCCCACTTATTTCCTAGCATCTTTCGACATTGATAAAATGCTATGGTACTTTTGTTAATTTTGTGGTCAAGATGTTTGTTCCATAGGAGCTTACTGTCCAGTATAACTCCCAGGTACTTGACTTCTTCTTTTAGATTAAGGTCTGTGTTAAAGAGTTTCGGTGTCCTGAAGGTACCAGGAGCTCTTTTGTTAGTAAACATGATTAGTTCTGTTTTGGAAGGATTTACCGAGAGTTCGTGGTTTTTACACCATCTCTCTACAGTTCTGAAGGCTTCTCTCATGCGGTCGCATAGAGTTCCCTCAAATTTTCCTGTTATCAGTATGGCAATATCGTCAGCATACCCTACCGTGTAGAGGTCGTTGTCGTTGAGCTCCTCAATGAGTTCGTTAACAACTAGATTCCAAAGAAGAGGTGATAGGACCCCTCCTTGTGGACATCCTCTGCTCACGATACCTCGTGTGGTAGTGTTAACGGTAAACTGAATTGCACGGTTCTTTAGCATGTTGCTTATCCATTCTATGATAGTTAAAGGTACTCCATGTATGGCAAGAGCCCGGCTTATGCTGGTAAAATTCGTTTTGTCAAAGGCCCCTTCGATGTCTATAAAGGCACCTAGTGTTGGCTGCTTTGAGTGTAACGAGTTACCAATTCGGGTTACTACGCTGTGGAGTGCTGATTCCGTTGATTTACCTTCGCTGTAGGCATGTTGGTTAGGGTGGAGTGGTTTGTTTGTGGACACAAGGTCTCTGATTTCTTTGTCGCATAGTCTCTCCAAAGTTTTTAGTAAAAACGATGTGAGACTAATTGGTCGAAAGGATTTGGCCTGCGTATAATCACCTCTGCCTGGTTTTGGGATGAAGATTATTTTCACTTCGCGCCATTTCAAAGGTATGTATCGGTGTGCCAGACATGCTCGAAATAGCTGAACGAGTTGTTCGGCTATTATGTCTCCGCTCCATCTAAGGAGGGCCGGAAAGACACCATCTAGTCCCGCTGCTTTGAAAGGCAGGAATGTGTTGATTGCCCATATTAGTTTTTCTTTGTCTATTATTTTGCAAGCTACCTCCCAGTCCGAGCTGCTGGTTGTCCTGTCTTCCTGTGAATTCCATGAGTGGTTATTGTCCACTAGAAATCCTGGGAAGTGAGTTGACAGTAGTATTTCGCAAGTTTCTGTGTCATTTGTTGTGTAGCTGTTATCTGGTTTTTTTAGACAGCCTATTGTGTGGTCTTTCTCCTTGGAGAGACACGCTTTTACCTTGACTGCTTGGTTGTTGTTTTCTATATTTGTGCAGAATCGCCTCCAACATTCCTGTCGTCGTTGGCGAATTAGTTTTTTGTATTTTTTTCTCGAAGTAGTGTATTTGTCCCAATCACTTTGTGACCTACTATTCATGGCTACGTTGAAAGTTTTCCTTAACCTCCGTCGGTGTCTCTCTAGTTCGAGACACCACCAGTGTTGCCTACCTCTGCTTTTGGGTACGGTAAGAGGGCAAGACTGTTCGTAGCACGTGGTTAGTATGGACGTTATGTTGTCTGCGTGGTTGTCTATTTCCGTTTTGTCTAGTTTTATTGAGAGTACGGATTGTTTTGCTACGTACGTTTTGACCAATCCCAGGAATTTGAATTTGTCAGTGTTACGAGGAATCCGTCTCGGCTGTGGTTTAGGTAACTGCATGTCGATTGTAAAGCGGATCCATCTATGATCAGAGCATGATAGTTCGTTGGACATGTGCCAGTCACGAACATGCTCCGAGATGCCTGTCGATGTCAGTGTTATGTCTATGATGGTTTGTGAACGAGCGTTTATGAATGTAGGTTCGGAACCTTTATTGAGCAGTGTGAGGTTATTGCTAAAAATAAAAAGAGCTAAGTCCTCACCTCTGTTGTTGGTCTTACTGTTTCCCCATAGCGTGTGGTGCGCGTTGGAGTCAGCGGCGACGACCAGTTCCAGCTTCTCCCTCTCGCAGTACTCGACCAGCTGGCTGAGTTCTGGAGGTGGCACCTCCCCGTCGCTCGGCAGGTATGCTGAGGCGAGGACGATGTCCGGGAGATTTTGTTCTACAGTGGTTATTCTGACTGTTGTTAGATCCCTTGAACAGAATTCGTTTATTAATAATGTTGGAACATGTTTTGGTAGGAAAATACAAGTCCTAGGTTTACTTACGGAGGTATCCAGTAGCAGTTTTCCTCCGATGTTGCCGAGACCACAGATTTTGTTGTTTCTGATCCACGGCTCTTGGATCGGGGCTATGGTCTGGGTGTTATTTTCCAGCACTCTGCGTAGTGAGGCCGTCGCAGTTTGGCTGTGCTGGAGGTTTCCCTGCAGGAGTTTAGTCTTCCCGTAGGGGGAGGAGTAGAGGAGGCTGTCACTGGCCTCGCTCTCTCCTCCCCTGCCGGAAAGCACTCTTCATCCGAGATAATTCTCGGTGAAGATGGTACCTGCACCTCCATTGCCGTCGGAGCCTCTACGTCCTCCGCCGCAGTCTCGACATCCATTGCCGACGTTGTCGGCTCGGGTTCCGTCTCCTGCTCGCCAAGGCTTGTGGCCTCCGTCTGTTTCGAGGCGGCTGCAGGTGTTTGATGGGAGACATCTGTGTCCAGGAAGCGAACATAGATGTTCCCCATCAGGTAGTAGACTCTTCTGTCCTGGGCCTTCAGCACTTCTACATCCTTTTCAGGAATACGAAAGAATAGGCAGGTTCCTGGTGGATCTTCTCTGATTCTTTCGTGTGTCAGGGTCCAGGAGTTGATGCTCATGTTGCTGTTTTGCCCCGCGAGAAGTTCACGTAGCTCTGCCAAGTCCTCGATTTCTCCAGGTACAAAGAGCAGGCACGGCACCTTCTTCGGTATGGCCGACTGTGGTCTAACGACTAGCCTCGAGCCTTCTACTGGTGAGACCATGTCTGTGATGCTTTTCTCAAGCCAGGCTAAGGTGTAGGCATCCTCACACCATGTTTTGAGGACACCATCTGCGAAGTGAGCCTTGCCACGGAATTTGAGGTCTTTTCTTGTTGCTGCAGGGATCTTGAGGTCGGCTTTGACTTGGAGCCTAAGCTTCCCTTCGATCTGCCTTCTGAGATCCTCCGCTTGGTCTTGTATGAGGTCGGTAAATGGTTCTACCATGACTGCAACGCACAGTTCATTTGCCAGGAAGCTGGCAGCTGCTTCAGCGTATGACGTCGGTCCCCTACCCATCACTCCTGCGGTTCTGGGTTTTTTGCCCTCCCCTTTGGGTGTGACCGTGTCCTCCGGACGAGTGCGTTTCTGCGGTCTTGGTGCGGTCTTATCGTCGTATGTCCTGGTCTTTTTCCGGCCTCTGGGCTTCATGCTGCGTTTATGAAGGCCAACCGTCAGTGCAGCACTTGTCGAGGCAGTTGCAGGTGCTTTGGTCCCACTTGTTGACGCCTCCCCTTTCGGTTTGGTCGCCTTTGGGCAGGTACCGAGCTGATGCCTTACGGCATCCACTGCTACTGCGCGTTGTGCTGCTGCTTTGGCTCTGGCCTTCATGCGCCGCTTTTTTGAGGCCGACTTGGGTTTGGTGACGGTCTTCCATTGACCCGGTTTCGTGGGCGATTGGATTGCGTCTTTTAGTGACGACAGATCCAATGCCGGGGTGTCAGAACCGTTGTCGGATGCAGCTTTGTTTGGCCTCTCTTCCGCCTCCGCTTTCATCAGTGCTGCCGAGTTCCCTTCGGAAGACGCACTCACTGACGCAGCCCTGTTGGGCGCATCTCGGAGTGCGCTTGTCCTTGGTTCCCCCATAGCAGCGCCTGTCTTTGGCGGAAGGTTAGGAGTTGCCTTTGGAGGCGCATCTAAGGCCAACGCTGGAGGCACTTTACGGGACGCAGCCTGGGTTGGCGCATTCCGCTCAGTGCCCTTCCTCAACGTGTCCTCAGACACAGCCTTTTTCACCGCATCTTTTACCGACATGGACGGTGTGTCACGGGACGCAGCCTGAGTTGGCGCATTCCATTCGACAGTCCTCCTTGTCGGATCTTGTGACGCAGCTTTGCTCGGCGCATCCTTGGTTGCCTTGGAAGGTACGTTTCTGGACGCAGCCTGGTCAGGCGCATCCCGGTCGGTAGCCTTCCTCAACAAATCCTTGGACGCAGCTTTGCTTGGCGCATCTTTGTTTGTGGCTTGCCCTTGGGCGTCGAAGGACGCGGCCTTGGGCAGTGGTGGTCGTTTTGGCGCATCTTGGGACGCAGCCTTTTCTGGTTGTTGGTTTGGCGCATTCGAGGACGCAGCCTGTGTCGGTTTTTTGTTTTTGAGTTTTTTAGTCTCTGTATCCATGAGTGGTTTTTTTCTTTTACTTCACCTTGGGAGCTCTCCACCCTCCACGGAGCCCTCACGTCGGGGACGTCATTCGTTCCAGCGAATGATCGTCAGAGCTACTCCCTTGGTATAGGTACAGCAGGTTGGAAAGTAGACGAGTCCGCACGCAGCGAAACACAACGAGGACACCTACATCACGAGACAATGATGCAGGCTAGCCCCGAGGCGCCGCGCCACGCCGACTGCCACCCCCCAGCCCACCAAACCTCGCTTGACTGCCCGCTTATGGGGAATCGCAGCCGATTGATCGTGGTTAGCTACTCCACGACCTCCCGTTTGAGAGGAAATCCAGACCAAAGAGGTGTGTTGTGAACAGTGTACAACAACAGCCGGCACACTGCTGCACTCAACCACCAGGACTCCTTCATCCCTCCGTACGGGTCTCCGCGCACGGCACAAACACGCGGGAGGTCATTACTGTCCACCTTCTGTTTTTTGGTCGATGATGGACACGCAAGGACATGACCTCTCCATCCCTGCATTGGTCGCCCGGTAGTTTTTGTTACGTCTATTTCATAGGGAACTAGACCAATCACAGGGCGGCAACCTCGTGAAGGGTATCTACCGCACTTGCCTTAAGGATCTACACGACTTGCGCTCTCCCTTAAGACCACACCCCTCTACCTCTCTGAAGGAGATGGTAGAGTAGGCCTGTGTTTATATCTCATCAGTCTTGAGATATTCCCACAAGCCCGCCCCAACATTTATACTCTTATTATATACATACACTATACTTATATACACATACAATCATTATTGTACAACATTAATTTAATTCATGAGCATATTCGAGCGAAACCCGTAGTATGCGGTTGGCCGGACTTTCTGTTATGTACTTACCTGAGAGTCGTCTAACAAGTTTTGTAACGCATCGCTTTGCTGCACCGTGCAACATCCGCTGCCGCTTGGTCATAGCCAGTTGCGATTATTCTGTATTAGGTTACACCCGTGTCGATTGTACGCTCATTTCAATTAAATAATTACGAGTTTATTGGGAGTATTTTTAACAATTACCCCAAATGAACGATCTGGCGCAGATGTTTTAGTTATATCTGTGATATTTATATGTAAACCTGACTCTACATAAGATATATTTTTAATCTTTATTAAAGAAAGTGTTTGTACACGTTGTGCTGTACATAAGGCTAGTAATGTAACAAATTTTTTCGTCAAAATTTCCAACGGTAATGAATTGCAAGGATGCCATTTTCTTAGTGTATTTAATACAATAGATGGGTCCCAAGTAAAAGAGTATTTCGGTTTTGGAGGATTTGTTTTGTAAAAACCTTTCAACAACCTATCAATACGCTCATCCCTCCCTATACGCGAACCAATTATTAGAGAGAGAGAGCAGATTTATGAGAATTAAGGGTTCCATAAGAAGAGCCTTTCTAAAACTGAATTGTTAAAAACTGTATTATTTTTGGTACTGAGGCACACAAAGGGTTAATTTGGTTTTCTTGACAGAAAGCCCACCATATTTTGTAGGTTACATCATATTGTTTTAGTGTGTGCTTTGATAGTGAAGCTATCATAGTATCTAAAGCGATAGTGGGGATAGCTTGTCTTATCATAGATTGCCTGATAAGATTCCGCCCACCAGGATAAGTTGCTGGTGAAGAGGATGGCAGCTCCTGTAAGGCGAAAATAACAGATCTTTATCTGGCCCAAAATATAATAAATCAGAAACCAACATTTCCTGCATAACGGGGAACCATGGTTGTGATGGCCAGTAGGGCATGACTATGATTCCTGAGGCTTTTTCATATCTTATTTTCATTAGACATTTTAAAATTAGGCTAAATGGTGGAAAGGCATAAAAATAATACTTTGACCAATTTACAGTAAATGCATCTACATTTAATGCATCTGGATCTGGCTTCCAGGATAAATATAAGGGACATTTAGTGTTGACCCTAGACGCAAAAAGGTCCACCTGCGGTGTACCAAATTTATTTATTATTTCTTTAAAAACGCGTGAATTTAATTCCCACTCGATATCTGTATTTGTTTTTCGAGATTCTATATCTGCTTCTACATTATCTGAAGATTTTATATAAGAGGCGAAGAGCCATATTTTCCTTTCTTCGCACCATTTCCAAATATTTCTAGCCAGGTCATTAAGGTGTGGGTACTGAATACCACCCATACGATTAATGTAAGAAATAGCCGTTTTATTATCTACTCTTAACAGAACCTGAATTTCTTGTTTGTTTTTAACAAAAGTTTTCAATGCCAGAAAAATAGCTAGCAGTTCTAGATAATTTATGTGAAATTTATATTAATTTTACTGTTATTACAGACCGCGCCCCAGCCCGTTCTAGATGCATCAGTATAAATTTCAATATCATAATTACGGACTAATATTGATTTTGATACTAGCAATATATTTTTTGCCCACCATTCAAGATCTAACCTCGTATCTTGGTGTAGATCCATAATACAATCATAATTATTAAATTTTTTTAGTAAAGCTAGGTATTTATGACGTTCTAAATATTTGGTGTATAACCAGCCATACTGTACAACTGGGCAGGCTGACACTAACAACCCTATAAGTTGGGCAAATTCCCGTATTGTACATTTACACATGTTAAGGAATTTATTTGTCACCTTTTGAAGTTGATATATTTTTTCTAAAGGTAATTGCATTGTCATACTACTTGTATCATAAATAAAACCCAAAAAATTGCAAGATTTGGAAGGTACTAAAAAACTTTTTTCATAGTTTATAACAAATCCTAAGCATTCCAGAATAAAAATAGTCTGTTTAACATTTTCTAAACATGACTGGTAAGTAGTGCCTAGGCACAGTAAATCGTCCAGATAAACTATATTCTTATATCCCTTTTTCCTTAAGTATGTGACTACTACTCTCATGACTTTTGTAAAAATGTAGGGAGCGGAGGAGAGGCCATATGGTAGTGAATTAAATTCATATAATCTATCATATTTAAAGCGAAGGAATTTTCGATCTTCTGGGTTTATGGATATAAGCAAATATGATTCTTTAAGGTCAATTTTTGCTAAAAAATTATTTTTATTTATCAAGGATGCCGCAGTCCTATGATCTTCCATTTTAAAGTGTGCTGTAGCTACAAACTTATTTAACTGTTTTAAATTTAAAATAAATCTTTTACTGCCATTTGGTTTAGGAATTAGAAAAATAGAGGAAATGAATTGACCTGGATGGGGCTCACAAACAGAAATGGCCCCTAATTCAAGTAATTTAGTAATAGCAATTTTCATATCCTGCTTCTCTATATCAGAATTATACTGAAATGAACTTGGAATAATGTTTTGAAATGGTAAAGTGGTGAAAGATATAGAATAACCTCTTATGTATTGGATGATTGTAGTATCATCAGTGATTTTTTCCCAACATTGGATAAAATGTGATAATCTGCCACCATGACATACCATTACTTCCGAGCAGGAGGTTTCATTTCTTGTTTGGATTTCCTTGTTGTATAATGCTGCTGTTTGTATGGAAGGTTTCATTCCATCAGGCGTTTTGACCCACCTCGATTGAAGGGTTTTGGTGCTGCATATCGAAGCAGGCCCCGGAAATTTCCCGAAGTGCTAGGATTTAATGTTCTTCTGTTTGAGGGCTTGAAATTGTCAGATTTTTTAATTGTTTGTCCAGTTTTTTGTGCGGTTTTCAAGGCGTTTATTTTTTCTAATAAATTCTCTCCATAGAGATATTCATCTCTATCTATATCTTTTATAAATTCTAAAAACTTTTTGTCCAAGGAAGTTGAGATTATTTTCTTCCTACTAAATGTCAGGTGACAATGTAAGTCTGTTAATATTTTTGAGGCAACACTTAATATTTTTATTATATTTAGACAATCACCTGTGTCAGTAATTGTTAAGGATAGTGCCTTGTTCAAAGCTGATATCCCCTGACCTAACTGTTGTTGATCAGTCTCTATTTTCTTACCTCGTCTTTTTCCAGTATCAGAAATTGTGGTCATGATTTCTGGATTGAGCTTAGGAGCTTGCAAAGTTTTGCAATTATCAAGTATTAAATACTGCTTCAGTAATGACTCTTTTACTTCTCTATCTAACCCATTTTTCGCTATTTTATTCCATCGTTTTGCTAACTCATTATTGATATTATCACCGAATAGAGGCTTTTCCTCCATTGCATCACCAAGAGCTTGCAATATATCACTATTTAAAGTTGGTTCACCTGTGCACTGTTCAGTGGACCCCCCGGTTGGTTTATCTGAGTATCTCTGTGAAGTTGTTGTTGTATAACGTTTGGGTCCATATTTTCTATATCTGAGGGCAGATTAGTCCCTTGTGAACATATAGATACAGCATCTACTAAAGATTCTGTATAATTGTTTTCCTCAGATTGATCTGAAAGGCGTGAATTAATTTAGAAAAGCCACTTTTTAAATTTACCAGTTTTAATAAAACTTGTATATTATGTTTTTAGTAAACATTGCCTTCGCAACATCTCACGGATGCTTCCCAGGCTTAATTTGACTTGCATGTTCAAGTTTTTATAGTGATACCCTTCGTAACATCTCTCGGATGCTCCCTAGGGTTTATACAGCATGTATGTTCCAGTTTTAGAACAGACACCTTTCATAGTAACTATACTAAGTATAATCGCCTTGCTTAACGCAACTTCTATATTCAAGTTTTAGTGCAAATAGCCTTTGTAATATCTCACGGACATTCCCTAGGTATGACACAACTTGCATGTTTTTAGTACTGACGACCTTTGTAATATCTCAACGATATTTTCTAGGGATGACGCAACTTGCATGTTCAAGTTTTTGTACCCGTAACCTTTGTAATGTATATTGGGATATTGCATATCTGTAATTATTTACTATATAAAACTTACCTGTCTGTTTATATTGGATAGATTCTTCTGAATCCGAGACGCAATATGATGATTTACGTCGTCGAGCTTTATTACGTTTCTCTTCAAGACGTCG